AGCCCCAGAAGCCCAAGATCTGGAGCGTGGCGGCGATGCTGGCATCTCCCCCTGGTGAGAGCGGGTGCCTCCCAGGGGTGCCAGCAGTGGCAGAGCAGGGGGAAGGCTGGAGCAGTCATGCCCTGTCCCTGAGGGCCAGGTGGGGACCAGGGCTGTGGCCGTGGGGAGGGGAGGGGACAGCCCCATGGCCAGGCAGGGCAGGACAGACGGCCACAGGACCCGGCGGCTCCCAGGATGAGGAGAGCGGGAGGTGTGAGCAGGGAGGGACGTGGGGCACTAATAAACGTGACTATGTCTTGGACACCATGGTGTTGCCTGTCAGTGGAGGGGATGCCAGTGGGGGTGTGGGGATGCTGGTGGGGATGTCAGCGGGGCTGCGGGGATGCCAGCGAGGGTGCGGGGATGCCGGCAGGGATGCAGGCATCTCCACTGCCAGCACTGCTCTGGTCGGCTCCACCACTCCCCTGGGAGCAGGGCAAGTCCTGCCCCGACTCCCTCAGACTGCCCGAACCGGGATCCTCCTGCGCACCCAGCCAGGTTGCCGGGGGTTCGCTGGCCCCATCACCAGCTGGGTTCCCCGCAGGGCTCCCCCCACTCAGCAGAGGAAGACCCACAGCATTTGCAAGTGATTTCGGACCTTCCTAATGCCTCTTCCCCTTTCGCCTCCCTGGATGTCCGGGATCACCTGTAGGGTGGGCTCATACATGGGGCACAGGGCTGTGGTCGCCATGACCACCAGCACAGCCCTGCACCATGGGGCAGCACAGGGAGGGACACGCATCGACAGGGACATGTGGGAAGCACCGCACAGGAGGAGTGTGGGAGGGGATGGTAGTGTCTATCCACTCGTCAAATGGGACATCGGCTGCCAGGAATGGGCTCAGACCCACCAGGCTCCCCACGGTTTCCCAGGACCAGGCGGCTCCACACAGCCCCAGGGTGACAAGCAGAGCCAGGGGACAGAGCTGGGGAGGGGAGAGGGAACCAGGAGCCCCAGGAAGGCACAGCCATGGGGCAGAGCCGTATGTGGGCTTTCAATGTTCCTAAGAACTAGGAAACAGAAATCAAAAATAGACTTTGCTCTTCTTGATAAAAGTAATAAAATGGTTAGCGGTGTTAAATTAATCCTTACAAAACAAAACCCAAGGAGGTTAAATAAAGCCCGGAGGCTCCGCATAAAAACCACAACGACTACAAAACAGCTGCAAAGACGTCTTTACACACCAAAGAAACTCCTCTTCTCCGCTCCTCCCCTCTACGGTACACAGCGTCGGCGAACACGGGACTCACACATGGGGGAAAGAAACACGGATGCGATGGGAGCAGCCCTGCGAGGAGCACAGGCGCCACGGACAGAACTATTTACACTATGGACACGGAGCTGTGCTGGTGCCAGTCCGGCCGCAGGAGCCCCCGGGCTCTGCCCGTCCTTCTCCTGCCGATCGGGCTGTGGCCACAGCTGCCGGGCCCCCGCCAGCCACGGCGCTAGGCACCGAGCACTCGCGCTTCCCTAGTTGGGATTAGCCTCCCGGCTGCTGCTGTGCTCTCTGCCCAGGTCCTGCTCTTTGTCTGCTGTAGAGGTTGATGAGGAGGAAGACGAAGAGCTGAGGGTCCGGCCCAAATGCTTGTAGGCTGCAGTGAGCTCCTGCAGCCGCTCCGGCGTGGGCTCGCACTTGGCAAAGCCTGCACTGTTCTGCACGGGAATCATAGAATCATATAATGGTTTGGGTTGGAAGGGACACTTAAAGGTCATCTAGTCCAACCCCCCTGCCATGAGCAGGGATATCTTCAACTAGATCAGGCTGCTCAGAACCACATCAAACCTGACCTTGAGTGTTTCCAGGGATGGACCATCCACCACCTCTCGGCAACCTGGGCCAGTGTCTCACCACTCTCATTATAGAAAATGTCTTCCTTATATCTAGTCTAAATCTTCCTTCTTTCAGTTTACAGCCATTACCCCTCGTCCTCTCACAACAGGCCCTGCTAAAAAGTTTGTCCCCATCTTTCTCATAAGCCCCCATTAAGTACTGAAAGGCCGCAATAAGGTCTCCCCGGAGCCTTCTCTTCTCCAGGCTGAACAGCCCCAACTCTCAGCCTGTCCTCACAGCAGAGGGGCTCCAGCCCTCGGAGCATCTTCATGGCCTCTTCTGGACCAGCTCCAAGAGGTCCATGTCCCTCCTGTGCCGAGGGCTCCAGAGCTGGAGGCAGCACTGCAAGGGGGTCTCCCCAGAGCGCAGCAGAGGGGCAGCATCCCCTCCCTCGCCCTGCTGGCCACGCTGCTGGGGACACAGCCCAGGATGAGGTTGGCTTTCTGGGCTGTGAGCGCACATTGTCAGCTCATGTCCAGCTCTTCACCCACCAGTACCCCCAAGTCCTTCTCAGGGCCGCTCTCCATCCCTTCATCCCCCAGGCAAACAGCCACTGAGCATCTCCCTGTGGTCCAGGCAGACCTCCACACTGAGGTTCAGCCGTGGTTCAGGGAATACCTGTACCCCAAGGGACAACACTCCAAGGTGCCCAAAGCCTCCCTGGTGCGGGCACAGAGCTCAGCCGTTGCAGAGTCAGGAGTGGGGGAACCCAAAGACCTCCCGGCACAGACACTGGCAGAGGCTGTAGATGATGCAGAGGAGGAGGGTGGAGGGCACGAGGCTGACCAGGACAATGCCCAGGCTGTGGTGCTCGATGAGCAGGAGGTAGATGCCAAAGGGCAGGGAGCTGAAGTAGAGGAGGCAGAGGACACCCAGGATGAACCGAGGAACAGCTCGCCATCCCCAGGAGCGGCACTTCTGCCCGGGGCCATGGCAGGGCAGCACGCCCAGGCTGGCGGGGCGGTACAACCGCACCACCTCCAGCCCACCCAGACCCTCTGGCGGAACCACGTCCTCCGGCACCTCCAGGATGGTGACCACCAGGCAGTCAGGGCCGGCCGTGGGGTCCAGTACACTGGGGCAGAGGAGGACCTCGGGGGACCGGGGCGGACCCTGCTTCTTGGCCGGCTCACAGCCTGTCAGCAGTGACAGCACCTCGCCGTCGTCCTGAAGCTGTTGAACGTCCCCACCGGGCACCGGGCTGTGCTGGCGGCAGAAGGGGCAGCGGAGCTGATGGGGAGACGTGTTCCCCAGAACCACCATCTTGCGCAGGCACTTGGTGCAGACACGGTGGCCGCAGCGGAGCAGTTTGGGTCTGCGGGCGCGGGCATCGTAACGGCTGTAGCAGATCTTGCACTCCAGCTCGGGGGCTGCACGTAACGGTGGCTGCAGCCCCAAAAAAAGGAGGGCTGGCCAGGGGCTGTCTGGGCTGGGGGAGAGGGAAGCCACTGTGACCGAGGGCTCGGGGGGCAAGTTCCAGGCCCTGCTGTACCCCACAGGCTGGCTACTGGTCAGCCCCTCGGGATCTGTGACAGAGCAGCAACGGGGGAGTGGGACACCAGCAGCAGCCCCCTCCCAGGGCCAGCACAGCCCACCTCTAACCACCGGCTGGTGCCACCAGTGCTGGGACTTATCCCCTCCACATCTGGGCAAGGAGGGATACATCTTTCCCAGGGGACAAGACTGGCTCTGGAGCCCCTTCGTGCTGTGGGGGAGTGGGGGGCGAGGGTCTTGGCTGGAGCTTGTCCCTCCCAGTGTGTCCAGTTTTCCCGAGGCCCTGTGGCTCCAGACATCGGGCTCTGCTGGCTGCGGGGACTCCCCCTGTCCTGCAGCCCCCCCTTTCCCTTCCCTTCCCTTCCCGCGCCCCCTCCCCCAGCTCCCCGTACCGTACCTGCCGTCTGCGCCGGGGGTCGCGGGTGGGACGCAGCCGTGGGTCGGTCTCCGGCCCCTCGGCCCTGTCGGCGGAGGCATCTGATTTGTGAGCACCACTGAGAAAAGTAAAGCCTTGCAATTTTTGCCCTGCGTGACATCTCAAGGTTTCAGCTCCCAGGAGCACCAGGTGAGAAGTCAGACCTGCATCAGAGTGACGCAGAACAAGTAGGTCAGCAGTCTGGTTGCATGCATCTTGTGTGTGTCTGTGCGCGCGTGTACGTGCATGCGTCTGAGAAAATGGAAAACCATGGCACTGAATCCTTAAGTTTCTGCTCCGTCTTTTCTTTAGGCAGAAGTCTCACTGACCGTTTCATGTCCAGTTGAATAGGATCAGGGCCATTTTGGCCTCTCGTTGCAGTAAAACATGTGGCAGCAATATGTGGAAGTGGGCGGGGTCCTGAGGGTCCCTGCAGCACGGGCAGACCCTCTCCCATCCCCTGGCCTGGGAACGGGCGGCTCCTGCAGAGAGAAGCTGCTTCAGGCATGAAGTGCCCAGCGGGGAGGGCTCTGCACACCCATCCCTGATGGAGCCCAGCGTGTCACCCACAGGTCAGGGATTCCGGGGTGCCAAGAAACGCTCAGCACCACCAGTGCATGCCTGTCCTCCTCACCCCACTCCTGTGCCCCGGGGAGTCAGGGCCAGGGGCACTTGGGGGCCACAGCACTTCCCAGAGCCAGGCTGGGCACAGCTGAGCCCTTGTCACATCCCTCTCTGCACTGGGTCTCCCCAGCCCGTGCCAAATCCCCCCCCACACTGGCTGCAGACCTTGCAGGGGTGTTTCCAGCAGCCCCGAGAGGCAGCAGTCGCCAGAGACCCCGTTGCTGCCCAGGGCTGACGGCAGGCTGGCAGCACAGATCCCTCCCCAGCACGGACCGGGCAAACCTCCCTCCCACTGCGCCGCTGGCCAGAAGAGCGGCAGTGAGCACCCACCACGGGTGGCAGCGCTTGTGGGGGAGATGATGGGGACCCTCATGCAGCAATGGCCAACCAGGGGAGACACCTGAACCCTGACAGTACCAGGGGTTTCCAGCCCCTTGTCACTGCCAGGGTCGCACCATGCTGCTCTCAGCCCCCTCGGGCACAGAATCAGCTTTCTATGACAGTTAACAGTTACAGTTTTTTTCTCCACACAGGGCTCTGCCCTGTTTGCTGAGCTCTGAGAACTGCCCAGGTAATTATTGCCCACACCCTGACGAGCACAGTGCTGGGCTACAGCTCTGTCCTGCACCAGAGCAACCACTTGGGTTGGAGCTGCCCGGAGCAGTGTTAGCGAGGGGCCACTTAATTCAAATCATCAAGGTTTGGCAGAGTCTGAAGTAGCCTTATTCTAGGGGACCAGGCAACATCCAGCTCCCGGTGTGACTGCTGACCTCGTCCCCCCAAGTCCTGCTTGTCCCCCACACCCGTGTGTCCTGGCTGCCCCCACCACCGCAGCCCCTCGCAGAGGTTGGTTCAGCCTCCGTCACCAGCCCTTGGCTTTGCCCTTGGTACAGGCTCGGTTGGGCAGGGAGCAGTCCTCGTGCCGCGGGACGGCCATCGCCGAGTGTCTCAGTGGAAGTGTTGTGTCCCATCTTGGCACCGGGCTGATGGGGGTGCCCCGTGCTCTTTGGTCTCGTTGCCTCGAGGATTGGGCAGTTGAGTCCTGCGAGCAGAACCTGCTCCTTGTCCCGGCCACCCACCCCTGGCCCCGACCCTCTCACCAGATCCTCCACCAGCTGTCGCTTTGTCCCTGCGGTCCGCCAGAGCCAGAGCCCACCGACCTCTGCTGCCAGGGCTCCCAGTGTGCTCCAGCAATTAAACACATAACAAGTTAATTGGCCATCACCCAAGGGAGCAAGACAAAGGACTCGGCAGGACAGACAGACCAAGGAGTAGGCCCTCTGACAGTTCCCAAGCATCAAGGTGTGTCTCTGGTCACCTGCACTTCAGAAGCACCCAGCCTTGGCTCAAAATAATGAATAAAAGAAAAAAAAATAATAAAGGCTTTACAAACTGCTGCTTTCACTCCCAACTGTCCTGAGTGTCATTAAAGGATGTTAATGATGTCCTTTAATCTCATCTCTGTTCTTGAAAGCATCCCTGGAGAACTGGGAGCAGGCTGAGCAGGCAGCACCTGGGGTTGGACTGTTCCTGCCCACCGCAGAGCAGCACCACCACTGCCGCGACACCGGTGCTGCTGGCTGCAGAGTGCCATGTGTGCAACACGGACCCAGGATTCATGGAGCTTCCTCAGCTCCTGGCTTTTAACTAATAAACCTCAGGACCTGTTTGATCCGTGCTGAGAAATGCAGCCCCACAAGGCTGCAGAATTACAGGCTTCCAGGTAACGCCAACCCACCCCAGAGCCCATTTCCTTCGGGACAGCAAAACCCATGTGGGGAGGACAGGCTTCCACGGTGCCTGCAGGCTGTCCAGAGGCAGAGGGGCTCTAGAGGTAAAGCCAGGGAATTCCCAAAGCTGGGTCAGAGAACTACCACTGCTTTCAACCCCCAGAGCCACCCTCACCTGTTAGACCAGAAGACGCTGGTGGTAGTAAAGGAAGGGACAGGGTGACATCAACGACTTGAAACTGAAGCAAGACCGGTCCCACCGGCGAAGGTCTGTGCTTCGAGAGTGCAGTGCATCGACCCCAAGGCGGTTCTACTCAGGAAAGGTCCCCGCTCACCCCGGACACCCCCCACCAGGCCCACTTGAGGGTCTGCAGCGAAGCCCAGCCAAGCTCTCTCACCACCCCATCAGTTGCTGCTCTCTGCCGATGACGCTGGACCTGCAACACTGCTCCGCCTGGGCCTCCCTGATCAGGGGGCAAAGGGCCACCAAAGTGCCGAGACCATGCAAGGAGAAGCTGGCTTGTTCTGCCCTGAAGAGGTTGAAGGCGATTACAACTACCTGCACTTCTTGGAGGGCCGTTACAGGGAAGAGAAAGCCAAACTCTTGACCGTAAGCAGCAGATAATGAACCAAGAGGATAACGGTCAGGTTGCTTTAGAGTTCACATAGGTCATTAGGAAAAAAAAATTCACCAGGAGGGCACCGCAGCATGGAACGGGTCAGATGACAAATTGTTCTGAAAAAAATAACCACAAACCCCAACGTTTTTCAGTATTTCAGCCAGAGTGAGACAGAGGAGAGGGCAGGAGGTGACCAAAGGCCCTTGGCCAACAGAGAAGGAAAGGCATGGACACAGTGCAGAGCTGTATGCTGGTTTTTAATGTTCCTAAGAACTAGGAAACAGAAATCAAAAATAGACTTTGCTCTTCTTGATAAAAGTAATAAAATGGTTAGCGGTGTTAAATTAATCCTTACAAAACAAAACCCAAGGAGGTTAAATAAAGCCCGGAGGCTCCGCATAAAAACCACAACGACTACAAAACAGCTGCAAAGACGTCTTTACACACCAAAGAAACTCCTCTTCTCCGCTCCTCCCCTCTACGGTACACAGCGTCGGCGAACACGGGACTCACACATGGGGGAAAGAAACACGGATGCGATGGGAGCAGCCCTGCGAGGAGCACAGGCGCCACGGACAGAACTATTTACACTATGGACACGGAGCTGTGCTGGTGCCAGTCCGGCCGCAGGAGCCCCCGGGCTCTGCCCGTCCTTCTCCTGCCGCCGCCGGGCTGTGGCCAGCTGCCGGGGCCCCTCCAGCCACGGCGCTAGGCACCGAGCACTCGCGCTTGCCATCCGTCCCTCCATCTGTCCCGCCATCCTTCCGCCTGTGCATGCATCCCAGCTCCAGCTGCCCCTTCCCTCGGTGCTCCAGCATCGAAGGGGCTGCCTGCTCCTCCTGCTGCGCCACGCTGGGTTCCCTTGCCCTCCGGTGAGGGCTGCAGCCGAGCCTCCTCTCCCCGCCGGCGGACGGGCGCTTCCTGGCGCTCCCGGGCGGGGGTGGCATGCAGTTCGCAGAGGAATGCAGGTGCCGTGGAGCTGCTGCGCACGAGTCCCCCAGGCCAGTGCTCTGCAGCCAGCAGTCTCTCCACTGCCCCGGCAAGCCTCCTTGGGGCCGCCGGCACCTCCCCTGCTGCCTCGCACCTCTGCACCTTAGTTGGGATTAGTCTCTCGACTGCTGCTTTGCTCTCGGCCCAGCTCCCGCTCTTTGTCTGCTGTGGAGGAAGAGGAGGAGGACGATGACGAGGAGGAGGAGGACGAGGAGCTGAGGGTCCGGCCTGAATGCTTGTAGGCTGCAACAAGCTCCTGAAGCCGCTCCGGCGTGGGCTCCCACTTGGCAAAGCCTGCACTGTTCTGCAGGAAGAGGACGGCTGTGTTGTGCACAGCCTTGTAGTACATCTCCTCTCTGCAAGGGAAGGTAACAGACACTCAGCATCTCCCCTGGCCCACCTGCCCAGAAGTCACACAACTGCCACCAAGATACACCTCCTAGCACCCGCCCCTCCTCTTCCTGCAGGCCCCGTTTAGGACAAGTATTCATCTCTGTCCTTTTCTCTCATTATTCTGAGGAAAAGAGCAGGCAGAGCATAAGGCAGTTCTGAGTAAAGGCAGAGGCTGGCAAACTTTCAGAGGAGAAGCACTGATGCTGTATAGCCACGTCACTCTCTACCAGCATGTGCATTGGGACATTGCTGTCTCTGAAGGATACTGATCACAGTCAGGCACCAACCGTAACCAGGTACAGAAAACTTAAGTGTTTAAGCACTTGTTGCTTAAACAGCAGACCAATGGCCAACTTGCTCCACTGAGGACCAAGATCCCACCTGCCCCTTGCTTCTGCTTCCCCTCAAGTGACACTGAATTGCTGTGGCATTTGGCAGCTCAGGAAACGCTGCTCAGGGGGCTCACCAGATCAGAGGGCTGGCAGAGGAGCACAGGCGATCACCGCAGCACCACATGTATGACCTTTTCAGACTGGACTTGTACCCACGGAATACACCCCTCACAAGCTTTTTGTTAGTGAAATACCTCAGTAGTCACTAAACGAACGTGAAATTCACAACACACTGTATGCCTGTCTTAAAAATCCAGGGGGATTATGCGCTGCGTTTTATCCTCGCCTGCTCCCTATTCCCCATTGATTTCAACTTGGGATGGGATATTTCTGTCATACGGCTTCAGAAACACATTCCCAGAAGGACCCGAGAAGAAGGCCTACTTTTTGCAGACATGCTGAGACCCACTGCGGTATTCGTGATCAAAGGCTGGCAGGATAAGCTGGTGCCGCTTGAACTTGCTCTGCTCCATGCGGGTCAGGGCTGGTGTAGGAGGGTCCCGCCACTCGGGGATGAAGACGATAAAGGAGAGAGGCTCACTGGAGTTCTCCAGCAGTTTCTAATTCAACAAGGAAGTGAACAATCTTAGCGCTGGCTGAGAAATGACACGTCT